TGGCCACCAGAAGTCGTTTCTATTGCACTTCTGTTTCTCTGGAGAGGGTATAATTGTGGCCATTTTTAATGAAAATAGCAGAGGCTTGAACAGATGTGGTACAGGGGAGAGCTGAGTTCCACGGAAGCCAGGACTTACATGTGAACATAAACTATCCATCTTGTATTGAATCAGTCATTTCCAGACATTTTTAGCTATGGCTCAAAAAGAAAACCTTTTTCTTTTATTTCTTTGAGACAGAGTCTCACTCTGTTGCCCAGGCTAGTGTGCAGTGGTGTCATCACAGCTCACAGTAACCTCCAACTCCTGGGCTCAAGCAATCCACTGCCTCAGCCTTCCAAAGTGTGGGGATTACAGGTGTGCGCCACCAGGCCCAGCCGCCACCCCCCCCAAAAAATCTTATAGCCAAAAGTGTCACAGCATTCTGAAAGTGATGCCTACTACTTCCTGCTTTATTTATTTTTTGCAGTTTTTTGGCCGGGGCTGGGTTTGAACCCGCCACCTCCGGTGTATGGGGCTAGCGCCCTACTCCTTTGAGCCACAGGCACCACCCTACTTCCTGCTTTATTTACAAATGCTGGAAGCCACCTGCCAAACCCTCTGCTATCATGCCTTCCACATTATAAATCTTTGCATTACAGTGAACGTTTCTTCAGTGGGTTTTAAGCTTCCTTTTGTTTCTCAGAGCACTCCCCAAATAATTTGGATGGATCATTTCAACTCCTGCTTGGTTGGCCTGTTATGATCCAGGCTGCTATGCCCAAGTTGAGCCACAGGTAACTCAGCCTTGGTGGTACTAAGGAAACCTGGTCATGCACACCCCTCTGCACACTGTGACAGGACGCAGGCTGACCTGTCAGAAACTCCAGCTGGGTGTTAAGAAATCAAGTATGTCAGGGAGACGCCACCTGCCTCACCTTCCCCACAGAAGGTCTCACTGTCAGTGCTGAATAACCGAGCAGGTCACAGGTCTGAGCTTGTGTGGGACGTGGGGCCTTTAAGGGTTTCTGACACGAGCAAGGAGGTGGGAAATTCAGAAACGTTTGTCTTCTCTATTTTAACGTGGTACAGGAGAATTAGTCAAAAAAACCAGGAGAAAAAGTGACAATTGAGTGTAAGTTTTTCCAGGGTGCCCCAGTCCTGCAGGTGAATGCATTGCATGTTTGTGTTAGCAGAGAACACGGCTGCCTTCTGCTCTGCTCCTGGGCCGGCCTCCATCCCCGTGCTAGATGGATTCCTCCCTTCGGGGCAGGGATTTTCAACCTTTTCTACCTCACAGCACACTTGAAACTATAGGTAAGCTTCTGGGTACACTCAAATCATGTTGATCAAAAAAGTTTTTTGTTTTTTTTTTTTTTTTTTAAAAAGGAATATGCTTTACTGTGCTTTGAACTTCTTTTGAAAATAATGTAATTAGGGCTAGGTCTAGTGGCTCACACCTGTAACCCTAGCACTCGGGGAGGCTGAGACGGGTAGACTGCCTGAGCTCACAGGTTTGAGACCAGCCTGAGCCAGAGTGAGACCCCATCTCTGCTAAAAATAAAAAAAGCTAGCAGGGCATTGTGGCAGGTATCTGTAGTTCCAGCTACTTGGGATGCTGAAACAGGAAAATCACTTGAGCCTAAGAGTTTGAGGCTGCTATGAGCTAGAACAATACCATGGCGCTCAACCCCAGGGTGACAGAGTAAAAATCTGTCTCAAAAAGAGAAAATAATAATTTAAAATTTTTCACAGCACAGTTAAAATCCTCTCCTGGCACACCATTTGAAAATCACTGCTTAATGGCAAGGAGATATTGCTTCTTTATTTTTAATTGAAACAGACCCTGGGGCAGAGCAGCTCCTGGTAGGTGCTTTGGAGGGAGTTTTCTGTTATCTCAAACTGTTAGACTTCAGGCCCTATGGATTGGATTTAATTTATTCATGCATTCAGTAGGCACTTACTAAGCTCCGTCAGAGTAAGCACAGGTGAGCGCTTCTGTGGTGAGCTGATCCAGAAAAGGACCCATGCAGCCTAGACTGGTTGAGGACGGTGTCCGCAGGAGGTGGGGCTGGACCTTAGAATATCGGAAAAGAATGAGATGCAGAGAAGGGAAGGGGAACGGGGCAGGGCCAGAGCAATGGCCCAGAGGGGACACGGCAGAGATTAGCATATATGCTTGGACACAGTGGGTGGCGCCAGCTAGAAGGTGACATTGTGTGCGCACCTGGAGTGAGTAGGCAGAGAGGGGCGTGCAGTGCTGTCCTAGTACATCAGCCCCACGGTTTTGATACATCTCTGGGTCTAGACCAGTGTTTTTCAACTGTTTTTATCTCACAGCACACTGGGACCCACAGTTACACTTCCATGGCACACTTAAATTATGTTGAGTGAAAAAAAGAATATGCTGACTATGCTTTTGAACTTTTGAAATTTAAGTATTCACTGGTCTAGACAGGCTCCCTACATGATCTGAGCATAATCTCACCACCTAAGTTTTTGACAGTCTCTGTACCCATCATGGTCTGCTTCATTAGGAGTCATGCTCACATTTTCTCCTGGGCAGAAAATCCAGCTGTAGTGATCTCACTGAGCAAGCACTGGGGACATTGGTGTGTATTCTCTAGGAGTACGTTCAGCTGAAGGATCAGAAAACCCAGATAATACTGGCTCAGGTAGTTTATTTTGCTTTCCTATGAAAGCTGGGTAGGCATTCTAGGCTGGACAGAAGCCCCTGGTGGTAGGTCCTTCCATCGGGTTGCTCCACAGAGCAGGGCTTGCACGGGTAAGTTCACCTCATGGTCCAAAATGGCTGCATTCTAAGGGTAAGAGAAGAACAAGCATTTTTGATGAAGCTGTGCACACCTTATCTGCTCATATCCCACAGCCAAAACCTGCATGGCCACACCTGGCTCAAGGCAGGCTAGGGTACATGCTGTATTCTGGGCAGCTATGTGCCCAATCATTTGGTTTTCTTAGGAGCCTCTATTACTGAGTAAAAAGGAAAAGCGATTCTGAGGACCCATGGACAGCGGTGTCCGGTTCTTGCTACTTAGCTAACTAGCAGCATCTTCCCTTTCAGGATCCCTAAAACTCACCTGTGAGGCTGCGGTTCACTCAGAGCCCAGCTGCTGGGGCTGTAAGGTAGGTGTCCCTGTAATATAACACACATAGAAAAGAATTGGTTTAAAGGCAAAGACTTAAATTTTGACTGCTTTGGGTTGTCACTTGGTCACCAGATGTTTATTTAAGGCATCAGACGTGAGGTCTAAGAAGGACAAACCTATTTGACAATGACTCATATTGGGGTGGAAGAGCAGATATTCTGATTAGCTACTTTTCCCAGCTGCTCTGGGGAAAGTCCCACAGGTTGAGAAAGAAGGAAGTTCTAGAGGTAGACGCCCCCTCACCTCTGTCGATGGAGGGATACATCCCCCTTCCTTCAGATCCATCATCAAATTCTTCCCCATCACATCCCACAGGCCTGAGAGGCTCCGATCTCATCCTTGTCCTAAGAGTCAGTATTGTACAGAGAGCTGAGGGCTGGGCTCTCAAGTCAGACTGTGGGTCTAGAGCCCAAATCTGCCACTTACTAGCTGGGCCATCTCAGGTCTGTCTTCTGAGGCTCCATCACCCCCTCCATAAAAGAGGCAGCAGGAGGCTGTGCTCAGAGCCAGGCCTGGCCCCTAGTAAGGACTCTACACATTTAGCTATTATTAAATCAACAAACCGCTTCTATCCTCTAACTCTGCTCTTCATAGAAGAGCCATTTTATTCATTATC